CCTATCACTACAGGCCTTAAACTCCTTTAGAGTAGTTAGCTACACTCCCTTAGCAAAGGTTAATACCCTATCTTGCTGTAATTGCTTTCTTTTGTGTAATTTACAGCGTGTAGCAGCCTTATTAGCTACCTAAAGGTTAGCAACCTAGTTACGCACTAAAACTAGTAAATGCGCTATTAGCTCTGTGCCTTTAGTAAGCTAATTAAGGGTGTTAACTATTAATATTAGTAAGCTATTAGCATGTCTCTAGATCCTCTCTTAAATTAGCTTTAATTAAGACCTAAATTCTAGGGTGTTGCTTAGTGTCTTAGACTCCTACGTGCTGTTGTCTACAATAGGTAGCGTTAGTGTGTGTAGCTGTACTTTAAGCTTCAATATCACAGCCTCTAGGTTAAATAGGACTAGGCCAGCGCCTCTGAATCCTCCCTAGATGTTGCTCTTGGTAATTGAAGCATCAAAAGCAGCTTTAAAGCACAGCAAGAACTCAAGTTTGGTGATGCGAGTGATCTTGCTCTGCATCAGCTGCTCGGCTTGGCGGCCATAGGCCTTCTTTAATAGGGAGAAACAACCCACGTTAAGCGGCTGTAGCAGATAGGATGAGTGTAGGGGCATACACAGAGTGATAATCTTGTGCTCCTCACAGTACTAGTAGAATTTAACTAAGTTATGGCTCTTATGGCCGTCTAGAACAAGCAGTTAGTAGCTACTAACAGTGCGCGCCTTTGTGTGCTTATTAAAGTGCTTTAACTACTTAACTCTAAGCTTATTATTAGTCTAGCTATTGTTAGAGACACTAATAACCTAGTTATTAGGTATACTAGGCTCCTTATACTAGGCTGAGAGGTGGTGCTTACTAGAGAGGATAATAAAGGGTGGGATAGACTAGCCCTTTACGCAGATGCCTTAGATAATGCTAGTCCACTCTTAGTTGCCCTGCTGCACTGTCTTTAGTCTCCCTTAACACTCAGAGCCTGTGACAACAGCACTAGTAGATATAACACCTATTATAAAGCTAGATTTATTAAAGTTGTAGGTGTCTTTATCTAGGATACTATACTTAGCTTTAGTATTCTCTATAAGCTAGAACTAGTTACTAATAACCTTAGGATCCTTACACAGTGCTCTCTTGTAGTTATACTTGCGATTAAACTTGACTTTAAGCTCTAGCTAACGTTTAACAAAGTTGGCAGCCTAGTTCTTGCTAACAGGGGTCTAGTAGCGCTTAGCAAGCAGAGAATTAGCTATACCCTCTACATTAGTAAGTTAGGGTGAGAATCCTTGCTTATCTAGCCTTAACACGTGCTAGAAAATTACCTCCTCTTTAGTGCTAGTTATCTTAATTATGTTAGGCTTGCAATCGCGTTGTGGAGAGGTTCTAGCAAGTTAGTAACTAAGTGTCCTTTAAGACATGTTGTAGATAGCTGCAGCGCGTTGCTAAGAGAGTGTTGCGTCTTAATAGATAGCCTGAAGAGCAAGCTGTATTCCTGCTTCCTTTGAGGGTTTGATTGTGTTGTTACGTTGAGGCATTGTAGGTAGAGTGAAGTTTGGTGTGGTCTTGGCAAAAGTGAGCCACTCGCTTGTGTGAGCCACTCGCTTGTGGAGTACGTTATTACTTTGTGCATTTACAAGTTTAAATCACACTCTAAGCACTTTCTAATTATCTTTGCTTTTTAGCTTTGTCAGGTGCACAGCAATACTATAGTACTATTCTAATTACAGCTATCTACGCCTACTGTCTGTATGCCTCACATGCTACGTAGGTTTCGTGATGCTACGGTTGCCTATAATCGCCGTAGCTTACGGTAATTGACCCTTACCGTACCCGTATACGTCCTGTTGACAACGCTGATTATGTCACGGTTAATACGAACTTACTCGGGGGAGTAAAAGGTTGACCTTTTGCTCCGCGACAGATTAACTGCATGCAGTGCCCACTCCCGCGTAGGATCTTCGGAATTTGTCTCCAATTTGATGTGGCGACCAGTCTCGCTCACGAAGCTTAATGTATAGGTACAGAGTCGCTTCATGGATGGCTTGGAAACCTCGCGCAAGGCAGGCTGAGATATTTAGATTACTAAGGGGAAAACACCTATTCAAGGCGGAACAATCCGGAGCATGAGACAGAGTAACACTGCCGTGTATTTTATTGAGCTCTTTAAAGAGCACTGTATTTCAACACGTACGTGCGCCTTATTAAATCTTTCAATCTCCAAACCCATCTTACGGTCATTGCAACGCTTCGAGGTCCCGTTGTACCGCCATGCTGTTGACTGATTGCCAAAAATACATCTATTCATAAATGATTTCGAGATCTACCGTACCACCATCTTTCTCCAACATTTTCTTGCTTGAGAGCACATCTGAGACCATGCCGTAGCTGTCTGGGGGTAGTCTCAGAGTTACCCTGATACGGCCCGCGATCTTTTCCGCAAACCTCGCAGCGTATCGGAAGAACCCTAATATGGTCGCGCAATTCCTAATACCAAATAAGAAAGCCATGTCAGACTTGTTCTATAAGTTTCCGCGTTAGCGTTGCACATCAGCAAGATACCGGGTGGTCTTACAAGTCCTGTCAAGCCCGTGAGGGCTTCGTCTCCCATAATCACTATGTTCAGGCTCCCGACTAGCATTTTGGTGGCAAATATCCAGGGTCGAGAAGATTCAGCTTCGTGCATTGTGATGGTGAATGCGCATGCAGTCTCGGGTATACCAGGGTCGATTGTTGTAACCACGTGGCTTCGATCGCATGATATCCTATTGTAGCAGGTACTGCCCGGTGGGCAAGTGCGCTTACGAGAGCTCCTGTAACATAACATCACATCGCAACACGACAACAGATAGCAATACACTCGTTGATCACAGTCCCCGATCGACACTGCTCACGCAGTTACAATTGTTCTCCGGAAGAAGGGCTCTGCTTCTGCTTTCAACGGTCTGCACGTGGCAAGGTTCGTGACCGCGTGTACGACTTACTGGAGAGATAGTTGACATCGGGGGGTGAGGGTGTATTCCACTGGAGCCTGGCCGTGGTTGTCGTGGCCAAGTATTCGTAGACGATGAGCCGAAGCTCTTTGGATAGATCGAGAAGGCGGAACGGCACTGATGCAGGCATTCTGGGGCCTTTGGTGGTCATTGCAGGATGTGAAAGGTGCTGGAAGGTTTATGCGATGTGGGCGACGAAGTGAAGGAACGTGGGAAGGCGTCTTTCACTGTCTTTCATGAACTAAGAGCAGGCTAGCGCCTTAGCGCACTTGCGCTGCAATCTATGTATAGCACAGTGCTGCCTCACGAAGTCCTCGCTAAGCACCTGTAGGGTTGGATTTTGTCTAAAATTATGGTGCTTCACAAGCAAGCATGAAATCTTGGCTCCTCTGTCCTGCTGCGTGTGTACACGTGTCTGTCCAAGCCACTCCTTTATCGCAATCAGAGACCCTAATCTTTCAGTGTCCTGCCAACGGTACTCCTTGAGCTTTTCAGCCAATAGTTAAGAAAGCGCTTCAATCGTGGAGGCAATTGAGGTCTAAAAGGTTCTCGTACCCCTTGAGCCGCTAGTACAAGGTTTCCGACATGAGGATTTTGTCGGACTGTGAGAGACCTTCTGTCTGGACCTCAAGTCCAAGTCTACGACCAGTCTTCCTTACGAAGTCGAGAGCATATGTGCAGAGTTGGAGAACCACCGGTACCTGAGCCTTACCGAAGCTGACAGCAATATCAAACTCCTCCTGTGAAGCACTGTTAGTTCTGACTCAACAAGGGAGGGCCCAATTTACCTCTTGGTATTTCAAGAGCTTAAATGCGAGGTTTATAACGGCCATCGTGCAAAGCCATTCGTTTTCAAATTCTCTACCATCGACAGTGAATGTGAAAGAACATGCTGTCTCTGGATTGTCTTCTCCGAGAGCTTTCTGAAAGAAAGGTTCTGCCTCTTCGTTCAGCAACTTGCAAGAGGCAAGTAGTCCAACCGCATAGCGAGTGTAGCGATAAGACAGTCGGAAGCCGGAATCTTCCTCAAGCGGATACACGTCAAGTGTGTTGGTCGTTGTCGTTGCCAATTGCTTGTATATCATGAAGCGGAGCTCTTTCGGGAGATCAAAGAAGCAAAAGGGCATCGTGATTGACGCCGTCGTGGCAGTCGCGGCAGTAATGGCGCTGATATTGGTGTGGTGATGGTGGTATATTGATGGTGATATGTTGATGGTGGTGTGTTGATGGTGGTGTCGAACGCGAGGTAGTTTACTATGCAGTGTACGCTAGTACCTAATTAGCGCAAGCCCTTTCACGAGAGGTAAGAGCAGCCGTACGATATCTCAGAGATTAAATGGGTAATGTTGACACCATGATATTAGAGAAATACTTTTACGCCTTAGTGATCTCGACTTACGATGTCCCAGTTCAAGTACCAGAACCTTCCAGAATAGACGTAACGATACAGAACTAGAGGACTGATGGCTCATCAAGAAATGCTGCCATGTGGTCCAGAATGTCGACAGTTGTCCCAAAGTTCCTCGCTGTGTGACTATGTCCGTCGCTTGTTTCGCGAACGCATCCATCAAGACCGCCGACTGCACCTCACGTGCCCGATAGATGCCTATGTACGGGTGCGGCCCGGTTCGCCTCCAGTAACAGGCAGTAGCTAGACAAAAGTTGCGGAGAATGGATGAAGACTCTTCTATAGCGTCGGATCCACAGTAGAAATACTGGAAAATCTGTACTGTTTAGTCAGCCCAGTCACACTGGTGGGGTATTGTAACTTAATATCCATCTCTCCAATAGCGTTGCCGGACATCATACGTGTGACGGTGTACATTGAGACATTTGGATGAAACTGTGCGGCAGCAATGGCTTCCATATCAGAAGCAAGCATGACCTGGGTAGCCCTCGGTGGATTCTGTATGATAGCCCCGTCGAAACAGCGTGCTGCTTCTTTGTGAATCATCCTTGATGTGACCAAGACCGCAACAGGGAATTTGGTCAGGGTTAATATGGTGTAGCTCTGGTTCTCGCCGCCGGTGTGGGTTATGATGTTGATTCTTCTTGACGTTGTTGACGAGAGTCGTTCGTACACCATCAGGCGCAGCTCTTTGGGCAGATCCAGGAAGCGGAACGACATCGCGGTGGTGGTAATATTTGCTGGCGGTTGAGATTGAAGAGGCTTTGGTAGTGTGTTGGTGGGTTGTGAATCTGCAATACAGGGAGAAACTTTCGTTTATTAGTGCGTGTGCGCAGGTGATCATCACACGGTGACGGGTCACGAACCGAAGGCGGGCCCAAATTCGAAGTGAAGGGGAGATCATCTTTTGAGCAAAAGTAAAGGGGAATTACATTCACTTCAGTGAAATTGAGGCGTAGGACCTCCGAGAAACAATCTAGAACTAAGAATCCGGTATCTCTTCCATAACTTCAACTTCGACTCCGAAATCTCGTGCCGCTCTGTCTTCAACATAGTTGATAGTCTGCAGCGCGTGGCTGACATCTGTTCCCGACGTTGCACCTGGCCAGTGAATCCATAACTTTGCATGGCAACCCGTCTTCACAAGATAACGGGCTGCAAAGACACAGAAGTCGCAAATGTCTGGCACGTGCGCTAATCCACCAAAGACATTTCCTTCGTAGAACAGTTGAAGATTCTGTGAGAGACAGTTAGTAATGCCATGAAAGTTCAATAGGCCGACTTATCAATGATCTTGTGAAAGCCAAGTGGGTTTCGAATGCCATGATCGTTGACAGTGCGAATGCAAATCAACAGCTGGATCAGATGAGCAGGTGCAGTCAGCCATCCGTCTCCGGGAAAGCTCGGAAAACGATATTTAATCTCAGGTGCGATGCGGTCTGTCAAGTCCTTGAAAAAGGGCAGTGCTTCCTGGTGTGTCAGCTTCGAGACGGCCAACAGTGCTACGGGAAGTGCGGTACGGGTCAGCGTAAGACTGGCGCGTTCACCTTCCTCACCAACTGTAGTGACGTGGAAAGTCTTTGACATCGTGGAAAGCGGCAGCTGTTCGTACACCATAAGGCGCAGATCTTTTGGCAAGTCCAAGAAGCGGAAAGGTTGTAAGGGAATGGCGATGCAAGGTGGTAACAAGGCATGAGCGAGTGAGGTAGAGAGTCCGAAGGTACGTATCTGCTCGAGAGCAGACAGCTGTCTTGCGTCCATCGGAGGTGAAACAGTGATGGCGATCCCGAGATGTTGTCGCGACTTCTTATGCTGAAATTGCGGTTGGACGCTCTTGATAGTTATTGGCAGACAACTCAATGCTGCATTTCTGCTCGAGAAAGTAGAGTTTAAACGCGTCTCTTAAGGTAAAGACGTGTTGGCGATGATGCACGTAAACGCAGAGCAGGTGCGCTAGCCGCATTTGGGCATGCAACAAACCGTAAAGGAAGGAAGGCGCGATGACGTTATCGGGCAACCGAAACGAAGCTGCAGATGCACGGATGCAACAATGCAACAAGTGCTCTCAGAGCGGCTGTGAGTAACAATGTATCTGTAGCGGTTGCCTATGCGACGTCTTCGTAGTCGTGCTAAGGGCCTCCGTATCCGGCTAGTGTGGCTACAAGGGCAAATCTTTCCTGCGATGTCACGGCGCTGCAAAATACGCATTCATCTCCATCGCCACGACCAGTCGCTCGATACTGTTTTCTTCCGTCGTGCCCTTCCGCCCATACCCTTTCTTGCCCGTGAGCCCTCTGCACACGCTCAAGAAGACCCTAATCTTGCCCTTCAGCTTCGCATAGAGCTCCTCCACAGTTGCAGTCTCTTCGCCTTCTTCTGAATCGCCCTTAACATCACCTCGCTGCAGCTTTGCGAACGCCAACACGAACTCAAAGATCTCATCTACCAAGGCTACCACCTTCCGCTGTCTGCGTCGCAGGAGCAGAGAGAACATGATGCTGTCAAGACACTTGTCGTGAGCGCCTCTGAGCGTTGAGACACCCTCAGTGACACGTGTACCCAGCTCGCCAGCCTTGTCCTCTTCGTCAAGCCTCTTCTCCAGTGTCGACATAAACCCATCGAATTCACTCCAGTGTTCGGCGATGCCACTTTGAAACACGTAGTTGGTGTATGTGGTCACGAAATGGTGGGCTTCGTTCCTGAACTTGCGGGCTGTGGTATCTGCGTATTGACGAGGAAGGTGAGAGATCACGAAGAGAGTACGAGAAAGGCGCAGAAGGGACTTGAAGATAGCGTCGTACTTGTCAAGAGACGCGGCCGTAATAACAAGGTGCAAAGGTGGCGGAGGCACATACTGCAAGCGCAGAAAGTCGAGGGCCGGGAGGGCGTCAGGGTCCATAACAAGCGTCTGTTCGTCTTCAGTCAGATTGCGAATCGCAAAGTTGAGTTGTCCCGGCAGCGAATCCGAATCTCTGCCATTTGTTGTGGTGCTCGTTGTAGAGACCGAATTTGCTGCAACGCTCGACAGGTAAAGTGCAGAAGAGTAGTAGCTCTCACTCAAGACGCCACGTAGGGCAAGGCGCAGCTCAGAACTCGCTGGAGGCCAGGCGGTGCGCGAGCCAAGTTGCAGACCCATTTGTACACCACTACGCATCTTGCCCTTGTGTCGTTCTGCACTTTCGCGTTCAGGGTCGAACAGAGCGGAAGCAAGGAGGGACGAGAAGACACCATCGCCAAGAAGATGATACTGTCGCTGTAAGGATAGGTGGTGACGCAGCTGATGAGCCCGGAAGAATAAGCGAAGTGTTGCCGCATTGACCAGTTTTGCTTGAGCGGTGATCAACGGCCGGAAAGACAATGCAGACGTGATCGACATCGGTGGGGCAAATGTATTAAGAACAGGATGTGTTTGGTGGGTGAGAATATCGTCGAGAAGGTGCTGTATGTCGTCTGGTGGATCCCTGTGAGATTGGCCAGGCTGCGCATTCATCGCCTTGATCGATTGCTCGAAGAAGTTGTCGAGATTCGATCCTTGTGGATCGCTTTCATGCTTGAGCTGTGGGTTAGGGACGCGTGATGATTTAGGCCTTGCCACCTCCCGGCCTGCAGTGAGCTCAAGCAGTGTGGAGCGGAGCGACTCCTCGTACTCTTTCGCCTTCCTTGCAACAACTTCAATATCCTGCCACGCAAAGCTCCATTCCATCTCCGGGGCCTTGACGTCGAACTTATCCAGATTCGAAAGCGGATGGTCGAAGTGTTGCGTCTTCAAGAAGCGTAAACTGTTACCCGTGTCGAAGATGAGGTTCCCGTCTTCTGGTGTGATAAACCGGGGCATCATTTCAGACCGGTAGGTGTAGTCCAGCGGCCCCTGCTCTGGCGTGTCATCTTCGACCGCTACGAAGCTGCCCCTTTCGTGTATCGGTAACGGGCCCTGCTCTTGTCTGATGCCGATCCACTCGCTCATCAACTGCAGGCTGGGAGCAGCAACATGCCTCAGGATCCTGCCTGAGATCTTTCTCAAGTATCCATCACTTTCCTCAAGCTCTAATATGCGATGATGTAGGATCGAGGCCAGCTGCTCATTAGTCTTTGCATGTCTGGCAGAGTCCGTCATCCGCGCGACATGTATTAGAATCTCGCGAGGCCTCGTAAAAAGTCGTTGTAGCTCAAGTAACGATGCAATATTGCCTGATTGGCTACCCAGATGGCTCTCTAACACCCCGAGAATGCTCGATATCGATCTAGCAAGGGCGACTCGAGCAGAAATCGAATGAGCTGAGGCGAAGGTCCGTTCGACGAATGCTCGAAGATAGAGAAAGGTGTTGCCGATATGTACGAAACGACCAATCAGACTCTGTGCTGCGGACAGACTGATCCCTGAAGCACGTCCGTCCGCAATGGTCGGCTCGAAGCTTTTGAGCTTGGGGTTGAACTGGAAGAGGATGGACGAGCGGCCAAGGCCAAGGTTCCACAGCGACTGTAGAAGGATGTTGCCCTTGATGGCTCGCCCGGCTGGCATCTTGCTGTCATCGTGTGCAAGTGCAGCATCATATGCCTCTGGCCCCCGTTCGGTAATGTATGGCGTGTGAGTGTGTATATGCTCCCCCTTCTCGAAGCTCTCCCATGTGTAGAACAACAAGTCTTTGTTAGCTGGGCCCAGGTCCAGCGCCACCTCCCAGATGTCCTCCTCTGGTTCGAGGGCTGGAGTTTCGATCGAGATGCTAGACTCATCAATGCTATCGAGCTCCGGTAACGGACCGAAATCGAATGTCTCCAGATCAGGCAGTCGAAGCTCACGGTCTAGGTCATGTTTCGGCGCGTATGGGTGGTCAAATCTTATAGAATTGACTGCATATGGTCAGTATGAATGCGACGCATTTGCGCCAATTGACGCGCCTGAACCTACTGTCTAGCTCCAAGGGCGCGAAGAGCGCCGACTCATAGATGGCAACGTCTTCGTTATTTGCAGTGTGTTTCCACACGTGGCTGCTCGAGAAGGGGTCGTATGCCGCATCTTCGTTGTCCATGGTTCGGACGGTGGACAGAAAGTGAGGGTGGGGCGGCGCACGACGCGGAAAGCGTTGGCTCGGCCCTACCGGTACGATATGCCTGCAACTTTAGCTCCATCGCACCTACAGCGCGTCATCCTCCGCATTGCTCGACACCAGTTCACTCAGTTACGCGTCTAGCAATTGCAATGCCGCCGCGAAAGAAGGCAAAGTCCAGCGCAGCTTCTACACCCCTCGGCGATGGCCACTCTGGGACACCACAGGCCTCGAACACACTGTCGCAGAACGAGCTTCTGAACGACCCGTGGGAAGACGAGCAGGAGATCCAGCTGCTGAAGAGCATGATGAAATGGAAGCCAACTGGTGAGTGGTTGCGAATATACCACAGGGATACCACTGACATCACAGGCTTGCACAAGCACTTCCGCATGATCTCGATTCACAACGACATGACCTCGCACGGCTTCGCGACCGAAAAGGTACCCCACACGCGCATACCCGGCATCTGGAAGAAGCTCGACCAGCTTTATGACCTCGAGACGCTCGACGTGCGCGAAGACGAGGCCTCCGAAAAGAAAGCTGACGATACGCCCGATTTCGAGCTGCCTGAAGACGAATACGGGGAGATGATGTGGCAGTCGCGCTTTCGTGATTCCGAGTCATCTGAGCCTTCGTCGCCGCCCATGATACCTATCGAGGACGAGAAGGCGATGTACGTCTCAGGCATGGGTCTGCTCAAAGACCTGCCAGACGGCGTGCACTCGCGCCGAGAGGAGAGCGTGGCAGAGTCAACACCGCCGCCGAAAAAGAGCACAAGAGCTAGCAGATCAGCTGTCAAGAGTGGTAAGGGTGCGAAGACTGGAGTTGCTGCCAAGAACAGTAAGGCTCAGTCTACTGTGTCTGACTCTGAAGAAGAAGAAGAGAACGACGAAGATGACGGAGACGAATCTAGCTCCGAGTCAGAAGACGAAGAGGAGGATAGCGCTCCCACCACGCGCCGAACAGTTCGTGCGAAGCCGAAGCCCGCCGCGCCCAGACGGATGAGAAAGCGTTGATTGGTCAACCTCAATCTGGCAGTGTGAGCAAGAGAAACCGGGGTGATATTGTCTGCATCACTACTCTAAACGGGCCCCTGTGGCACTGATTAGAAGATAGCAAACCCAGGGTAGTCAAAGTCCCGCCTCTTCGGTGGCGCTGAGTCCTTTACCCACAGCGAGTTGGTGTCCATCAACCGAACGTTACGCGCCGCAGCCCTGAAGCTATCATCAGGTTTATACTTCTCCATCACGTAACGGCCCGCCTGACCCATTCCCTTGATCCAGAGATTGCGTGGTTCCAGCAGCCAGAGGCGATCCAAGGCCTTCGGGACCAATTGTTTTACAAAGCTTTCCCATGAGCTGGCGTTGTTGAGCTGCGACTTGATTAGGATGTGCGCAAAGCCAAGCCTTCGCAGATTCGGAAACAGCGCCAAGGCCAATAAGAAACCGCGTTCGTTGAAACAGTTCTGATTGTCGGACATGAGACGAAACTCCTCCAACCGTGGCAGCTGATCACGAGAGGTCGGCGCCTCTACGTTCGTCAGCTCTCGACAGCTCGCAAATGAACCCCATGGACTTAGACTCAGCGGGTGTCTGGAGACAGCCACCTCCAGGAAGGTGAGGCTTCTCAAACTCCTCAGCCATGGCTCAAATAAAGGAACTTCTTCGAAACGCTGAGTCAGCGAGATAGTGAGGTGCTTCAAGGCTGCAGGGAAGAAAGCGGCGGTAACCTGTATGGCGCAATACGATGCTCGGTTCCCGAACAGAGGGAAGGCCACGCTTTCCATTGGCAGGCCTGCATCCACAACGTTATCCATCGTGTGACCGCAAACCCAGGACGGATCCTGCTGCCGAAACAACCAAGAGTGAATGTTCTTGTCGTCAGCCGGATAACCCCATTGTGGTTCCGGGCCAACATCGTAGGCGGACTTGTGACCACAGAATGTCTCGCGGAAACACTTCGGTGATATCGTGTAGTATCGGAGGTGTTTCACATTTGCGAACCTCCGAAGTATATTGGTGAGGTCTGTCCGGGAGGCCGCTAGGATCGACCGGCCGGACCCTAGCACAGCATTGTTGTGATGATCCCATGGACCAAAGTTCATACTGCAGAGCGATAGCGTCGACATTTGGCCGGCAATTTTGGATCGAGAGACTTTCACAAGTCTCGGCATTTGGTTGCCGTACCAATGAAATGGGGTCTCCTCCAGCACGGCGACAAAGAGATCCTTCAACGTTTTCGACTCGTGAAAGGAGTGTGCCACCAGTCGCGCGGCCAGTATGGCTTGTCGTGATGCATCGTCAAGGACTTCGTAGCGGGCGCTGAAGGTGAAGTCGTGCTCGACGAGGTGCTGCAGCACAGCGTCAAGAAGTTCTCGAGGTAGAGTGTCCATGGTCGAACAAAGCAGCTCAGGGAAGTGATGTCATCTGACAGAGCCCACCTTGCAAGACAACTTTATGTCTTCTAGAATTCAATGCCTGATCACTAGTCTTCGATTGCTCCATCACCACCACGAAGTAACTGAAACGAACAGCAGCGACATCAAGGCGAGTAATTCCGTCAAGTACGCAAACACTCCCACAAACGGTCGCAGAATCAAGCGTTTTCAGCACATTCTGATCGTGTTGTCGTTAAATTAGACTGAGCTAATAGTAATTTACAATTTATAGTTATACTCTCCAACTACAGCCTCACGGCTTCTCTCAGCCAATTCCAAATCGGCCCATCTTGACTACACCAGCGCAGCCAGGACCCTCCCATCGCCGACAACATACGTTTAGTTGTTAGCCTTGCCCTTGCCCTTGCCAAGGGCAGCAAGGGCACCAAGGCCCTTGCCCTTGTGGTGAGGCTCACGAGTCTCGATGTCGAACTCAGCGTCGAATTCAGCGTCGCGAGTGTGAAGATCAGCCCAGTGAGCGTCATCCGCAGCCTGGTCGAACTCCTGGCGGGCCTCGACGTCGCGCTTGGTCTTCTTGCCCTTACCCTTGCCAAGGGCAGCAAGGGCACCAAGGCCCTTGCCCTTGTGGTGGGGCTCACGAGTCTCGATGTCGAACTCGGCGTCGAATTCAGCGTCGCGAGTGTGAAGGTCAGCCCAGTGTGCGTCGTCGGCGGCCTGGTCGAACTCCTGGCGGGCGTCGATGGAACGTGCGTCAACAGAACGGGCGTGGACGGAGCGGGCGTGGACGGAGCGGGCGTCAACAGAGCGTGCGTCAACAACGGAGCGAGAATCGACGGAGCGGGCGGTGGCCTTCTTGCCCTTACCCTTGCCAAGGGCAGCAAGGGCACCAAGGCCCTTGCCCTTGTGGTGGGGCTCACGAGTCTCGATGTCGAACTCGGCGTCGAATTCAGCGTCACGAGTGTGAAGATCAGCCCAGTGTGCGTCGTCAGCAGCCTGGTCAAACTCCTGGCGGGCCTCGACAGAACGGGCGGTGGCCTTCTTCCCCTTGCCCTTGGCAAGGGCAGCAAGGGCACCAAGGCCCTTGCCCTTGTGGTGGGGCTCACGAGTCTCGATGTCGAACTCGGCGTTGAATTCAGCGTCACGAGTGTGAAGATCAGCCCAGTGTGCGTCGTCAGCAGCCTGGTCAAACTCCTGGCGGGCCTCGACAGAACGGGCGGTGGCCTTCTTCCCCTTGCCCTTGGCAAGGGCAGCAAGGGCACCAAGGCCCTTGCCCTTGTGATGGGGTTCGCGCTTTGTCACCTCGTCGTCCTCATCGGACTTAACGAAACGGGCGGTAGCCTTCTTGCCCTTGGCCTTGCCCTTGCCCTTGTGGTGGCGGGCTTCGATCTCAACAAAGGGCTCGGGCTCGGGCTCGCGGGCCTGCATAGCAGCTACGAGGGCAGCCGCACGGACTGGACCGCTTCCCTGTTTACTGTCAGGACGAATTCTAAGGCCATGATGTTCGAACTTACCACCACCCGGGCCTCAACGGCATTATCAGTCTCGACCTTCTTGTCATTGACGACATAGGCGCTGGCTGAGGCACCAAGTGCCAAGAGAGTAATAGCGGTAAACCTCATATTGAGTAAGTTCTAAAGTTAAGTTGAATCCTCGAATGAATGGAAAATTCTGCCAGCAGATGAGATGAGATGAAACAGGCTGAGAAGGTCTGAGAAGGAATGAGCACGTTCAACGCTTGCCGACATATCTTCTGGAATGCACCCACCTTATATGGGGTGACATTTCCTCACAGCATGCCCAAGAAACCTGAGTTCCTGAGACATCGCCGCATTGACCGCGGAACTTGAAGGGAGCTACCATCCCTGCCACACGAACCACGTTCCTGACGGTGCACATGCAGCGGCACACGGGCTCCATCAAGCAAGGGTTGGAGCCGAACAAGGGTGGGCGCAAGTTGCGACATGCGGATTGCCATCTCCGCCCTGGATGCGGCAGATGTCAACGGCCACCAAAGATTGACATTTCCGGAACAATCGAACATTGGCAGCAAACATTGGCAGACTTGCCTTCAAACGTGCAACAAGATACCAGACGTTATTCGTCAGTTCCACATTCACAGCATCGCGCGCTGACACACGAGACATGTCGACGTTTGAACGCCGATACAATTTGACGTGTCCACCGGTTTGCCAGCCCGTATCCACATTGCAGCAGAGTTACGGGTCATCTAACAATGGCAGCTGTAAAGCGCAGAAATGGCTCACGATGCAACCCACGGTTTGTTCTAACACGCATATTGTGTCAAGCCGCAGATTTTGTTCGATCGCCAAGCTGAAACAATGGTGAAGGGCGGACGCCCCCGAGTCTTGGCCTAGCGCGGATCGCGAACGTAAATCATCACGACAATCAACAACGATGTGAGACGAGTGCAGTTCGAAGCGTCGCAGAAGGCTTGTCAATTTGCTTGTCTTGGATTGGCGCTGTCGCAGACGGGTATTGTTGCCTCAGTCGAGTACCACAGATGCCTCATACTAATTCTGCAACGCCGTGGATCCGCGCTTACGAAACTTGCTTGTCTCTGATTGCGCCAGGCGCGTCCGTTTGAATCTTTGACTTTCAGACGCCCCTCCTCTCTTCTTGTGTTGAGCGCACACTTTCTTCTCGCAGGTCGAGTCAAATTAATCACTTTAATACATTCTCTACCACAACGACCTAGACCCACGAATGTCATCAACCATCACCATGGAGAAGCAAGCCCTCGCCTCGTCAAACGACGACTACGAAAACGCTGCCTTGCTCAATACATCCTACCTCAAAGACTCCGAGACTACAAGGCGGCGCAACTACGTCTACCTGACTCTTTTCAACCTGTTCATCTTCACACTCTCCATGCTGAGCCTGATATGCGCGGTCACGAGCCAGAAAGACATTTCCGGCCACAGTGCAGCAAAACTCATGGACCAATTCGACATCTTCTCGCCTGCCATGCATGAAGTTGAGTATTCTCACGTCAAGTACGAACTCCCAAAGCCGCTGAATGCGAGTAAGTACGTCGGTACAACGGAGGAAGTCGAGGAGGCGTGGATGGACATCGCGTACCGTGAGTGTCGGCCAAAGCTACACTGCATCTGAGCATAGTGCTAAAGTGACGCAGTGCCTGACCAGATGGTGTCCAAAGCCGACTTCTACAAGCTGAATAAGCCAGACGACGCAATGCAGGTCACCGATCCTACGACTGGCGAGACAGGGTATCGCGTTGGTATCGAAGTGTTCCACCAACTGCACTGCCTTAACCTCCTGCGCATGTCGACGTATCCCGGTCACTACAAGACCATCTCGTGGTCTGATACCAACGATGCCCCGGAGAAGGTGCGTGAGCACTTGGGTGAGTCATCTTCCGCGTCTTTGAGGACCTGATAGGGAATGTTTGCTAATCAGGCGCAGACCACTGCATTGAAATACTGAGAATCAATCTCATGTGTCTCAGCGATGTGAATGTGTTCACGTTTCATCCCACAAGCGAAGTAGGCAAGCAGGGAATGGGCGGCTACTGGCCGGACTACGAGAGTGAGCACGTTTGCAGGAATTTCGACCACCTCAAGGACTGGGCGAGGGCCAACGCTGTGCCGAATGCTGATGTATAGAGCATGAAGGTATATAATTTAATCATAATGATACACTTCTTAACGAACGTACTTCGCAAGTGTCAGGACAGACGCAACCGCATTGCGTAAGTAAACCGGTTGTGCTAACGATAGAGACATACAGCAAACAAGGGAGGCAGGCCCGATGGTACTTCATCCTTGGAATCTGCCTTTTTCAACCTCTCTCCATTTATACTCCACACAACTACCATCCTAGTCAACAGCAGACTCCGCATCACATGGGCACTAGAGTCAGTATCCCGTCTCCGTCGCCGATATCCACAACGACGGTAAATGCGTGGCGACTCACAGAAACGACAAAGGCACCACAACCCCTCCGCTTCCTAGACCTTCCACCAGAGCTTAGGCTCATGGTGTACTAGCACCTGTCCACGACGACAACGATTCAATTGTGCAAGACCGAGCTCGCACATAATTGAGATTATCTGCTGCTCACGTCGACTGCGCTCCAACTAGCCCTGCTACCATAGCGGCTTCCAAGCTCGTCAACAACGAGACTCGGCCTTAGCTTGAGAAGACACTTGCAGCTGCTCGACCGGAGCTAGTTCACACTTCTGCTTGAGCGTCACGAACGTGACCAAGCGAAGCGTTCCGTTCTTGATGCTTCGGACAGATACTCCTGCAACACTACCAGCTACAAGCATCGTCGATGGAGCGCACACATGGGCACATCTTGAAAGTGTAGATTCTTTGCGAAAGACGATCTCTCAGAATCCAGGAATTCTCCTTGTTTGCCAAACACCAACGTCAAGAGAAGGACTGCGAGCTGACCGTAAAGATGCACTGGCCTGCTGCTGGATACGAGATCAGAAGAATCTGCACGTTCTTGAATGATAGTAAAGGACTTCGCGTGGCCATGCGCGTTCTCGATGAACTGCCACTGGCCAGCGGCTTTGATGCTTTGCTGCGCTGAGGATGCAGCAGGGAGAATGCGACCATGTCTATGTGGAGTCGGGAACGGGAAACGGAGTCATTACTTTCCAGGTTTTCCAAAGGCTTTGGGGGATACCGACGCGTTCGACGATCGGTTCGGAACAGGGAAGATGTGGAAATGGCATATGCTATGCTGGATGCGAAGGAGAGTATGTAGATGCTGGCGTTACATGCGCTCAATGTCTGTAACCAATTTTTGTTTTCGTACTGGCATTATTCTTAGTCACTAGTAGTACCTTGGGCAAACGAGCGGTAAAATGAATGTGCTTATAAGGCTATTTCCACATTCGACGCTGCCCGACATCATTGACTTTTGATTCTGTATTCACGCCATGTAGCGAGACACTCCAAGACCAGGATGGGTGTGGAACTCTACTGGACAAGGGTAGAGAAGACGAGCGTTGAGAAGAGGGGTAAGAAGATAATAGAAAGTAGATATACTGGTAGCCTTGATAACAGAACGATTCGATAGGAAAGAGCAAGCCAGGAGGTTGATAGGATAGCGAGGTTGGCACCTGGAAAGTCGAGTCGCGTCAAGTATCGAAACTGACGTCGTCAACATGATACCCGAGCACGAGATGTAGATAATCATGCACGATTTTGCAAACACAGCGAATAGGCGAGGCAAGCTCGCCTCAAGAGTAGTTTCTTATTCTTGGAGCTCGCTACAGGAGTGTCTGCCTGACCCCACCGCAGAGGAGTTCCGAAAGTCGCCAGACTGAGGATGCCGCGATGGAGTACTGAGTCCACATCAGGCTTACGGAGACGCTTAGTCGTATGATGTAGTGTAGCAGTATAGTGCTAGGAACCCGATACCTCACTCCTTCGGTGCGTCACATCTCTTTGTGAGCTTATGCATGGATCCAAAGCGTGACATGGACGCAAACAGTAATTCGGTCTCCCACCAATCCAATCGCTGCCTTCCAAGAGGAGGCGTGCGCACCCAGGCGTGGCCTCCGCAGCGCGGTTGTGACAATGACGTCTTTAGACCGCGCTTTCACGCCGACAGTGACACGTGCAGGTCAACAGCGCAGGTGAAGTAAGTATCCACGCGATCCCAGCGAACAAGGGTGCTCTCTCTTGTTTATCAGTATCTCCTCATCCATCCACTCGAACTCCACTTTCACTCCGTTACCGAGCAACTACCCTCCACCGTGCGCACTCACAACGCTTCAGACTCGATACCACCACGATGCTGTCCACACTCATCCTCCGCATCTCCGTCCTCGCAGTCGCAGTCCTGGCCCCTGTCGTCTGCGCAAGTGGCCCGTCTGACAAATACGATCCATACAACAGCTGCGGAGCGCCGTTCTGCGGTTCGACAGGTTCCGGCGGCAATGTCGGCGCTGCTGGCGCTCTGGTTCGCAACAGCACCACTGACGCCGCAAAGAATAGGTTCAGCGAGGTGCTTCCGGATGTCGAGTAATTGGATTGCGTTTGTGCGCTGGGCTGGTTTTTGGATGGAAGCCCGGCTCCTGAGGTGCGCTGCCTCGGATTTGCTGCTTCGCTGCTGACACGGCGCAGATTTGCCCAACACTTTCGTCGGGGATCACGCAGGACCGGGGCTGAGATTGGTGGTTGAAGTCGCTGGTGCTGTTTGACATTCTTCCTTGTTGGGTTTGGGGGTGTGATGGTTCGCGGCCAGACCAAACAATGAAATTGTATCCATCAACCACCCTGTTCCTTACTCAAGATTTTCATCTGCGTGTCGATTCTGTTCATACTGCTGCACTCATCGAGATACAGCTCTTGCACGACATTTGTGCTGCCGAACCATCGCTCACCGAGGCCGGCGCCGGGTAGATGCGGCAGCATTTGAGGAGACATTGAGCTCCACTTTGTCGAGTCGGCGTTTTCGAAGTACTTGAGCGAGTCAATGGCCCACAGCATCTCGGCGTTGTTGTGGTAGTGCCCTCTCAGTCGCGCACGCCTGATAGTTCTCCGCGTATCGGACTCGACATGTTGCCATGATGACGTGGGTTTTGTCGACGACGACTTGGCTCCTTGTGACTTGCGCGTCGACGCGGCTTGATGGCGGGAGGGGTGCTGATCCTCCCAAATCACCTTCAGCTGCTCTTGCCTTGCCTGCTCGCGGAAGAACAGCTCTAGCATGTTCTTCCAACTGAGCTGCATCTTATAGTCGTCATTGTCAATGACAAGCCCTGGAATATGCGTATCGTTGACGGCATCGCCGATGCTGATTGTGTAATTGGGCAGCTCAGGCTTGCGTCTTTTGACATTCTCGTGCCACCGCTGCATAATAACAGCCTTGGTCTTATCCCGCATCCCAGCATCCACAATCCTGTGGCCACGAAAATGACCGGAAAAGTAGGCAACACACGCATCATCCCCCTTGCCCAAGCGCTCGAACTCAAGCGTGATAGCGGGCTCGTGCGGCCCTCTCTTGCCGCCTAGATTGTGCCTGTCCAACATGAACTCAATCCGAACATGCCCGAGGAAATATTCGCCAACTGCGCGTTCGGCGCATGCTTTCAGGGTAGGCGAGATGCGGCGGCACGTGTGCCAGAGGTGCGCGAGGTCGTGGGAGAAGCGGAAGATATTGATCCATATCTCCGGCGGCAGCGATGAGCAGAGAGTTTCGCGGACGGGTTGCGAGGAGATGTTCACACGCGTCATCGCGGCCGTTTGTGTGTTTCTCTACATGATTTGTACGTGTTCGGGACGACAGGCTGGACCATGTGAGTGGCCTGGAGCGGCCACCAAGAGTCTCGAGTATGACGTAAGTATTTAGTGGCAGTCGGATTTGCCCCGAACAGTGTACTCCGTAATTATCGTAACCTGCAACCCTTCCCAAGTAACTGCAGCTAATTGCATAGCTCAATCCCACTGCGCATCTCTCCCACCACGCTGCTGACAACCCACACGCCGCCATTAGCTGCGCGCTGTTCAGCTTGCAACTGCAAGGTCTCGTGGCTTACTCAGCGTGTGCAGGACACGTCAATGCAGAAACAGACAGACAGACAGACAGCTTGTACCACAACCGGTGGAGTAGCGAGGGCCCGGGCATCTGGCTGCCATATAGCAAGGCAGCGAGTATTGCAAAGTAGCACCAGCCAAGCACAAGGCCGAGATGCCTGCCGTAGGTAGGGTTTCGAATGATAGTATAGTCTACACAACGTCTACCGCAAAGTCCACTTTCCCGCCTATATATCAAACGACAACTCCAAGCCAATGCCGCATGTGCGCTATACCAAGACCGACCGTCGCTCCGCACCAAACTAACCAGCATGCTCCACAATCTCGCTGATAATCTTCCCGTTCGCAATGTAGCTCCTGATCTGCTCCGGCAGCGGGTTCTCGCTGTAGTCGTCCTCGCTGGGCAGGTTGATGTTGATGCTCGAGCACTTGCTGGTGAATATCTCCGTGTTCTGGCTGTCTTTGCCGAGGTAGATGGTCGCGCCGTCGACCTGGTCGAGCAGAACCGTGGGCAGGGTGCCGACGACCTGGAGAGCGAAGTTGGGGCACTTGATGACGTCGACCGAGGAGACGAGCGAGTCGATGATGATGGATGTGCGGCTCGAGTTGTCAATGGAGATGGCGTTGGCCTTGCCGTTGACGCGGATGGTGGTGTTTTTGCAGCGCGAGATGAGGATCGAGTGGTTGATTTCGGCGTCGAATTCGACAATGTCTCCGGGGCTGTCGAAGTTGTCCTGCGGATGCGTTAGCGCGACCATTGTCTTGAGCAGATCGGAGCACCCACGATAATCCACTTGTTGCCATCCAGCTCCTTCTTCGGCGGCTTCTTGGTGCGCATTGTGTCTGGCTTGCGTGGAGGAGCCGGGCTCTTGCCGCGCAGCGAGCCGTTGCTGTCACTCCGTGTTGGGACTGGCGCCTGTGCTCGCAACGACGGGTTCTTATGCGTCATCTGGCTTGTATCGACCTTCTTCAACCCCCTTGTGACATCTGAGCCCCTGTTCAGGTCGTCGAAGACAGCGTTCATGTCTGGCGCAGCCTTCTTGGCCGGTGGAGCAGCACCAGGTGGCGGGGGAGGGCCGGGGGGCGGAGGGATGCCTCCCGCTGGCGGCGGCGGCGGCGGCGGCGGCGCCGGGATAGCGCCTGCAGCTGGGCCCGACGCACTGGAGACTTGCCTGGCTGCCTCCTTTGCATCGATTCCGTTGGCGTTCCAGGCGACACCGCTGGGGTGGTGCTTCCTCGCGTACTCGGCGAGGGCCTTGAACAGCTTGTAGTAGGCCTGCACCCACTCGACGTTTGTCTTCTCCGGCTTATCACGGTACTCCTTAAGCACCTTGTTGCCGTACATCTGGGCGCCGCCGAACAGCTCGGTGATGTACTCGTGGGGCTTGGGGCCGCCGCCGCCGCCTATGGTGACCCAGCCCAGTGAACCAACACCGTCGGCAACCATGGACAGCGGGTCCTTGAGCGCAGGCTCGCGGTTGCTCTGGCGGACCTCGTCTGTCTTCTCCATCGACGCCTGCAGGTCCTTCAGGAAGCCCATGATGGTCTGGTCGTCGGGCTTCTTCGCCTTATTGGCAATGGACAGGAACGCGCGCTGCGCTGCGAATGCGCCCTCGACGGCCTTGGACTGCGTCTCGATGACGGCGCCCATCTTGCTGCTCAGGTCCAGCCATGTCTTCAGCTCCGTGCTGACGAGCTCGTCAAAGGCGGCAATGGACGGGGGCAGGCTCTCGACGGCCCGGGGCGAGGGAACCGCGGCGGCAGGGGCAGCAGCAGCTCCGCCAGCAGCCACGGCGGCGGCCGTTCCGGTTTTGCTGGCGCCGCTGTCGGTCGTAAACGACGACGAAGCAATGTCCTCGAGGCGCGAGGTGGCAGCTTCGAGCCTGCGCATCATCGAAGTCAGCACTCCATCTGGCTTCTTCTGGCCCTCCGATCGGGGGCCAATGGTTCGCGCCTCCGAGGCCTCGCTCATGGTGGAAGTCGCAGGGTCAAGGGGTTCAAGAGGATCAGGAGGGTCAGGAGGGAGGTACACACCGCTTTATCAAGGTTGTCAAGCTATTCATATTGTTCTGGGCCATGATTGCGGGGAAGGTGTGTACTACGTCCAGCAGCTCTGGGAAGTGACAGACGACGGACAGCCACCTGCAGCTTGTGCGCGCTCGTCGTGCTTACAGAAAGGACGGGCGGAGCGAGAGACTATTCAACGTCGAGCAGGCGTGTGGGACGTGCGATGGATGGACAGACGTCTGCCTGGCCTGTTATACAGTGGGAGGCGTTACGCAGTTGTTATACAGTGAAGGGCGTTACGTAGCTGTTATACAGTGCGAGGCGTTACGTAGTCCGGTCAGGGAGTCGGCGGTACGGCTGCTTCCTCAGGCGAGGTCCAAGGCCGTGGATCCACGTTCGCGCTAGTGCTGCAGGCCAACCACGCCAGAGCCCACGCATCACCGTCCGTGACCGCGGGGGTCTGTGAATGGTCGCGTTCCACGACACCGCTGCATCGTGACTCTGGGACGTGGACGCTTCAGGAACTCCATGGTGCAACTCGATCTGTGGTATTGCGTCTAGAACACATACCTTCAACACCGGAAACAATCGCACCCCACTTCACGGTCCAAGATCGCTGTCAAGGTACAAGTCAACATCTGCTGCTTTGCAGCAAGACGCTCCAGACGTCCTCCAACACAACATGGCGAGCACTAGCTCCGGCATGGGCTTTTGCACGCCCGGCACCGACTCTTGCACGCCCGGCACCGACTCTTGCACGCCCGGCACCGACTCTTGCACGCCCGGCACCGACTCTTGCACGCCCGGCACCGACTTTTGCACGCTCGGCATGTTCATCATCGACGAGATCGAGTTCGCGCCGCCGAAGCCACCGGTCACAGACATCGTCGGCGGTGGCGGATCCTACTCCGCACTGGGGGCGCGCATCTTCTCCCCGTCTCCGCTGTCGAGGAGCGTTGGCTGGATCGTCGACTGCGGGTCTGACTTCCCCGCGCAGCTGAGAGACTTCATTGCGTCGTGGGACAGCGGAGTGCTGGTCCGCGAGACACCTGACCGGTTGACGACTCGCGGGTGGAACGGGTACGGAGAGAATGAGCACAGGGGTTTGTACACGTGCAAGGTCAGTAGTGTACCGTCTGACGAGAGACAGCATTCCGGTACTTGACGCCAAAGCTGCGAATATCACACGAGGATTTGAAGGATACACATCTGCTGTGGGCCAAGTCGTTCCACCTCATCTGCTCGCCCACACGGTGCACAGAGCTGGTCAAAAACATCCTCGCGTTGCGGGTCACGGCTTCTCCTGCAGCCGAGCGACCAGTCTTCATCTGGGAGCCGGTGCCGGATCTTTGCGTGCCTGCCGAGTGGGACAATTGCCTCGAGGCACTACAGTGCGTGGACGTCGTGAGCCCGAATCACGGCGAGCTCGGCGGCTTTTTTGGACAGTGTACCGATGGGCCGGAGCACGTCGACTACCGCCTGATCGAGTCGCTGTGCGATCAATGGCTCGAGAGCGGCATCGGGCCCAGCGGCAGTGGTGGCATCGTTCTGCGGAGCGGGAAAGACGGGTGTCTAGTTGCGCGTCGCGGCCTGCGCAGGTGGATGCCTGCGTACCACCAGAACGGCGAGAAGGTAGTCGACCCAACTGGCGGCGGCAACGCGTTCCTGGGCGGGTTAGCAGTCGGGTCAGTGCGAAGCGGGGGTGTGGCGGCGCTCGAGGAAGCTGCCGCCTGGGGCTCGGTATCAGCAAGCCTCGCCATCGAGCAGGTCGGGATGCCGGTGCTGGCTCAGAGCGCCCAAGGCGAGAGATGGAACGGCGTTTGCGTCGAAGAAAGACTCTCAGAGTTCAAACAGAGGCTGGATAGATATGTACAGCCGTAAACCTCCCTGCTGCTTAGTGATCCCACGCGCGCTCTCCGCCCTCCTATTGCCCCTGCTGCTGCTGCTGCTGCTGCTGCTTCAGCTTCGCCTCGTGCTCGCGAATCTCTCTGCTCCAGCTGCGCCGTGTTAGCTGCAATGCTCGTCGCTGTCTCGGCGGCGACGTACTATCGGCTGGGGAAGAAGCGGCCCTGCTCCGGCATCTTGTCGCGGTGCTCGCGCTGTGCGGAAACAGACCAGGCCATGCCGACGATGCTGGCGAGGACGAGGCCGACGACGGCCGTGTTGCCCTTCCAGTTGCCGGGCTGCGCGTACCAACCACCGGCCGGCGACCAGACGTGCTTGGGGTACCTGTGCGCGGTCAGCAGCCGGGCGGGCGAGGCATGGGCGGGCGAGGCATTGGCGGGCGAGGCATTGGCGGCCGGGACTCACGGGATCTTTCCTCCTCCGCCCATGGTGAAGTGCTGCTGTGGAGATTTCGGGGGTGCGTGTGGCTGCGGCTTGCGCTGTCGTCGGCGACGCGGTGCGGTGCTGCTCGACGGACGGCCGCTAGTCGCTGCTGTCTTGGCGCTCCCCAAATTCTCAGAAACCGCCCAAGGCGACCATTGCGATCTCCAGGAGACGACACTCGAGCCCGTCCGCCGTCCGCCTGCCGCCTGTCCCAATCGCCGCCGCCGCCGCCGCCGCCGCCGCCTCTTTGCCCCTCCGCCGGCTGCCGTCTGTCTGTGTCTCTGATGAAGCGGATCGCCCTGTCGCGGTGCGCCGCGCAGCTGCAGGCCGCGCCGTCGCCTCGCCGGCCCTCGTGCCTCGACCAGGCCCAGCGCTCTCTGGCAGCCCGCGGCGCCCACCGCACACAGGCGCGCTGCCAGACGACCGCGTCGATAGCGCGCGACGGCCCCAAGCAGGCCCCGATGGTGGCTCCACACACAGCAGCGCCCAAGACACGGCCGACGCGCCGGCCGCCTGCGCTCGAGACGCTGCCATCGCCGCACCCCAGCGCCGCCGAGCGCTCGGTCAAGCTGCACGCGCTGCGGAGCCGACTGGCGCTCCCGAAGCGCTTCCCCCTCGCAACCCTCGGCCGCACCCTCGTGCACCCCTCGGCGGACCCCGACGCCGCGTTCAACAACGCCTCGCTGTCGATTCTCGGCCGCCACCTGCTCGGCTACTACACTACAGAATGGCTCATGTGCAACTACCCGCGCCTGCCCATGGCCGTCGTCTTCTCTGCAGTCGATGCCTACGTTGGGCCCCGCGCACTGGCCACGGTCGCCAGCGAGTGGGGCATCGAGGCCGCCGCCGAGCCCGGCGGCGAGGTCGACGCCGGCCTGCTCCAGTTCCGCAGAATCCAGTCGGGCAGCGGCCTGCCGGCGTCGCTCAGGCGCCAGGCCCCGTGGAGCTGGAACACGACCACAACACACCGGATCATGAAGACGGACGAGTTCGGCTCGGACAGCGCCGCCCCGAGCCCGCACGCGCTGAGCGGCACACCGGTGCCAATGGACGAGGCCGCGCAGTCGTTTGTGCGAGCGCTCGTGGGCGCCCTGCATCTGCAGCTCGGCGCGCCCCTCGTCAAGCGCTTTTTCCGAGACCACTTTACAAGCCGCCACCTCGACATCAGCACGCTCTTCGACTTCCGCATGCCGACGCGCGACCTCTCCAAGCTCTGCGCCCGCGAGGGCTTCGACGCTCCCATTGCCCGCATCGTCTCGGAAACGGGCCGTCTGAGCAGACACCCCGTCTTCGTCGTGGCCGTCTACAGCGGCAAGGACAAGCTGGGCGAGGGCGCGGGGAGCTCGCTGGACGAGGCCCGCACACGCGCCGCCGCCGCCGCCCTCAAGGCCTGGTACCTGTACCGTCCGCTCGACGTGACCGTGCCCAGCACCACCGAGGGCGAGCTGGATGGCTCGCAGTGGCGGCCCAACATGGTCGACTGCGGCGAGGTCATTGTGTGAGGGGAGATGCGGCAGAGGGGAGACGTGGCAGAGAGACGTGGCAGAGAGACGTGGCAGAGAGACGTGGCAGAGAGACGTGGCAGAGAGACGTGGCAGAGAGACATGGCAGAGGAGAAACACAGAGGAGAAACACAGCAGAGAGACATGGCAGAGGAGAAAGCACAGCAGAGAATAGAGCGCAACAGAGCCCAGCAGCGTCGCCCCGCCGCACACCATGTACATGTACCATATCTATGTGACACCACCGGCACACCCCTGCGATCTGCAGCTTTTTGTATAGAATAGCAACAGCACTGTATTCCACCGTCCCGCCTGCTCTCGCTGCGTCGCCTGCTGCTTGTGACGGAGGAGATTGGATTGATCCGGCGTGCGCCGTTGGATTGATCCGGTGTGCGCCGTCTCATGATGGGAGGTGATTGAGGGACGGGGAGTGAATTGATTCATGAGGGGGGTGGTAAAATCTATGATGGTAGTAATAGCTGTGTACCAACTGATGTGCTAGAGAGGTGCGCTGGTCTCACGCCAAGCAAAAAAATTCACAACAGCAGCAACACATACAAACACAGTCTACGCCCGTCTACCAAGTAACAAACTGCCGCGCTATGTCGTGACAATAACAAAGCGAACGGGGTATCATCTCGCTCGCACCATCCTTCTGCCACCCTTCTGCCACCCTTCTGCCACCCTTCTGCCACCCTCTGCCACCCTTCTGCGCGTCCACTATCCAGTCGTGTCGCCACCTCGTCTGGCCTGCCCTCATTCCGTCAAGAAGCCTGAACGGCTATGGCTGTGTGTTTCCGGGCCCGCTCGGGAGCGACTGGTGCCGAACGCGTCACGGTTGTCAAACGCGTTTCGCCGACCGTCACCCTGGCGTCGCACGTGTGTCTGCTCTGATCCGACGTACGTCTCGGCGCACCTCACCACACACGTCTCGGCGCACCTCACCACACACGTCTCGGCGCACTTCACCACGCCTCACCACGCCTCACCACGCCTCACCACCCGCCCGCGGGCTCCAGCTTGCGCGACTGCTGCTGGAAATAGCCGTCAAAGACGCTCAGCTCCGGTCGACGCAGCTGCGGCATGGCAGCTCTGGGTTTGAGCGTCGGCCCGAGATCCACGAGAGCAGTCGCTGGTGCGCCGTTGTTTGTGCCCAGCGATGCTGCGACGTGCCCGCTGTACCCGCCACCGTCCAGGCTGCGTCTTCTGCCGCCAGTCACCTTGCCGGACCCGATGCTGCCCATGATGACGCCCATCTTGATCCTTTCTTTCGGCCGTGGTGCAATCATCTTCTCCATGATGCTGAGCCACTCCGCTTCTGCCCTGAGCTGCCGTAATCGTCTGCCAGATCCGCTCAGCCCGGCTCGAAGACTAGCATTGGTCGAAGCAACGAGTCGGTTCCGCCAGCTTCCTACTCGGTCGAGATGTGCGTGAAATGATGCATCTTGTGTCGAGCCAGCCCTGTATTGCGTGAATGCTGACAGTGACTGATTCTGTGCTACCGTCAACATTGTCAAGAAGACGCAGCCCAGAGAGAACACATCAGCCGGTCGTTTGCCGCGCGAAGTCACCGCTTCAGGTGCCGCATATACGTGAGTCTGGTCTGAAAGATATGTGGCTAGTTGCTCTAGTCGCTGCGAAGCACCTGTGGTTGGACTGAAGCTGCCGATATTGTTACCGATTTCGAATGGCGCAAGCAGGACTCGAGCACCGTCGACCAATATCTTCCTCGGCCGAATGCTGCGGTGGCAAATCGATTGTGTGTGGAGGTACTCAAGAGCAGAGGCAAGGTCGTACATCCAATCAACCAGTATCCTGGATCGAGAAGGATCGCTTCCAGGCATCGCAAGATAGTCGTCTAGACTGCACTGTGCCTTATCCAGGACAATCCCTACATGGCTGGGCTGTGCGTACGAGCACAGCAGCTTGGAGATGCTCTTGTGTTCGAGCATTCTGAATTTGCTGATCTGCTCCAACACTGCAGCTTTCTGTGAAGGCCGAGTAGTGACAAAGCGCTTTCGGATCAGGACACGACCATCATTGCTGCCCAGCAATCGCACTCTATCAACGCTCTTCTCGGAGTTTTTCGATGTGCGAACGACGCCTTCTGACTGTAGTGGTACGGTCTCGCGTGCCACAAAATCAACATGGCCCCCGTTCAGCAGCATCTCCTTTGAAGTTGCACGCCACTGCTCGTCCACAACTTTTCGGGCATCTGCTACGATACCCTGCAGTCGGTCCTCTGGAAAAGGCAGACTTTCGTCTCGCAGATCGAAGAATGACGCTTGCCGCCAGGAGGCGACGTCATCACACACATACAGGAGTATTGCGAGACGTGGGTTCGACAGCGTCCACTGCCATATCCTCTTGATCTGCCCTGCGTCCCAGCCTTGCTTTCGACAGAGGTCGTAGAACCATCCGGAAAGAGACTGTCCTTGTGAGGATAGAGCAGACGTGTTGATAAAGCCGTGCACCAGTGGAGAGAGAGGAGCAACGGGTTGGCGGTAAGGGTTGGGCGATCCTGGAAAGGCAGACGTTGATGGCGAGGGAAACTCTGACTGATAAGCGTCGCCAACAACTGAAGCAGGTGGAGACATTGGTACGAATCCAGCCATTGCCTGGAAGGGTCTTAACGGCTGTGGTGCGATTGGGGTGGGCGTTGTCGACCGACTTGTGTATGGTGGGGTACGAGTGGGACTCTGCTTTGGCGACGATTTTGGCGACTTGCTCGAAGCCAGCGAACTTGGACTTGTCATTACATTCGACCAGGGATTATTATTCGTGGTGGTGGGAGTGGCACTTCGACTTGTGGATGTTGAGACTGATGAAGATGTGGGAGAAGATGGGCCACGATTGTACCAAGTTGGCTCCTCGTGCAGGTTGACCATGGAAATCGTGTGCGACAGGCTGTACTGAGGTTTGGGAGGGTCTCTCGTAGATGTTCGCCATGGGGAGTTCGATGCGTGCTGCATTGTCGAAATTGTTTCGGGTCTCCTGGCCACGCGAAAAAGTGTCTGCTCGAGCGACGGGACGAGGCCACTCCGGATCCACCAGTCGCTGCAATAGAAAGGTTAAGTTCAATTCGTTAATACCGGAGTTAATCACCAACAGCCTGATCAAAGGGTTGGATATGAGAACTGGCAGGGAAGGGACGTCGGGCGCGAGAGTCGCGATTACCAGCAGAAGTACTGGCACGAGACTCGGGCAGAGTCGACTTGACCCGAGAGAATGTAAGGCTGACTCTCCATCAACAGCGCAGAGGCATTGATGTGCTGGCAGCGAGTCGCCCGCGTTTTGTGCCACATTAGTAGACGGTCACAATATATGCCCTACGGTATGTGTGTTGGGCGAATGCAAACTGGGCATCACTGCACCTTTGCGGAATAGTCGTATGCACGCGAACGTGGCCACCTAAGACTCGCCTCTTGCGTAAGAGTGCGACTTGTACATACGTTCGCAGTCAGACAACTCCATATGGTGTCGAACATCCAAGGATTCGTATGTAGCGCGCGAGCCGTCCCGAAGGTCTTTTCGCCGCAACCGTCATTCGTGGTGGTGGGTGAGGCTGCCGCTTCGCTGCAGGATCGAGGCTGCGGTGTCACGAGCACGAGTACGAATAAATGCAGGATCGTCCTGCTAGATGACTCCAGAGTGCTTCATTGGTAGTTCTAGACGAACTGGAGGTCCTTCAGCGAGCGATTGTTCGATGATCCGTGAGGACCAGACCCCAGTGTTCAGTGTCGCCTGCACACCGTATCTTCTCGGCACACAATGGCGGGAGAAGTAGGCACCTCCACGACTGTGGATACGGGGATAACGGGAAAGTTGTTATCCAATGTTAGCGCATCACGAGTGGCACTGTGTTGCCCATCATCGAACGGAAGGTGCATGAGCTGTGAAATGTCCGTTCATCCCCACTCCGGCGGCAGCGCTCAACTACCGGTAGTGAGAAGTCTCTGAAATACATGTTGCTTGCGTCGCTGCGAGCCTTTATTCCACATAGCCGCAGAATAGATGCGCATGCGAGAAGACCTGAAGTGGAGTCGAATGTGAAGGCTTAAGTTGAACGAGCGAGGGATGTGTGGGAGAAGCAGCTTTGTCCGTGCGTTCCAGTGAGGGCAGCCACGATCTTGGGCGTCGTGGCTTCTCGCCAACACACTCATCATTACAACTTCTAATAGAGCTGTGCTTCCAATATGCTCGTAAATGCATCCAACAAGGTTCTTTGTCTTGGCATCATGTCGTCGCGTACATGTGGACCTGGATGAACAAAGGTGTCTTTTGATCAGATAGCCAAGAGCATCTGACAGCTTGCCATGAGAGCCAAGCGAACGACAACGGCGATTTGCAATGACCAAAAGTCCTCCACGGTGATTGCCGCGGTGGCGCAACTGCCCTGAGACGACAGTGGCGCGTAAGACGGGGTTCAAGGAAGACGTGTGAGGGTGAAACCAGGAACTCGGAAGCTCGGTAAGAATGCCACGCTGATTGGTCACGAACCACTGGCCGCTCAAGCGCCTGCGACAGAGCCTCAACACTAATCGTCTCAAGGGGCAAAACATCCTCATGCCTACTCCGGTTGCGTACCTAAACTCATCATCCTCAAAGAAACATCTGGTTGGTCTCCGCCAGTGGAGTTTCTTGTCTCGCTGATTCCAGGCGCCACTGGATGAACGCATAGAAAGATTCAGTGTCACCTGTCGCAGACTCGAGCAGGACTGGTCTCATCTCTGTAATGGCATTTCCGCCCAGGCTTAGGGTTGCTTCTCCAGCAGGACTTCGATGACTGAGCCACGCCATGAGAATCCACTGCCGGACATCTCAAGACTGCATCGTTCCGTTCTTCACCGCTTAGCCACTTCCTGACCCGCGTTTGTGCCAGGTTATTGCTACTAATGAGTCCCATGCAGAGCAGATTTCTCATGAATCGTTCCTAACTCATAACTACTTCACTCTTTTTCCAAGCCTCCGCTGCTAGGCACTCTCTTCTAGTACGCTGCTGGTCGGCCTGTGACTTCATACTAACAACTTTAATCACATCTTCAAACCTAATCCGCCCTTTACCATGCTGTTCAGGACAACAGTGCTGGGTACACTGCTCGCCGCTAGTAATGTGGCCGCTATCAAGCTTGGAGATGTCAACGCCGTACTTCGACGAGGAGAAGATCTGGAGGAGGTGCTTCGACGGGACTCTGGATTACTCGCCACTCTTACACAACGACAAGACGCAAATGCTGCAGACACTGCGCCACTGGCTTCGTTAACGCCAGCCTCTGGTGATGCATCGAAGGCTAATCTCCAGAAGTGGGAGGAAGAGACACGAGCAGCTTGTATGCAAACATTGAGCAACCTCAACGGCAAAGCTTCAAATCCCAGTGGCATCGCTGTTTGCTACAACGTGCCCTTCCTCGACAATTCTACTGGAGTCTTCCAGGCCGAACTTCGAATGTACAATGTATCAGCGCCCGTCGATCCATGGCAAAGCGTCACCGCTGCCGACGTCAGTATGACACTTTCGTATTTGGGCGCAACAGTACAAGCGATGAGCATGAACAGCACAAAGCGAGAGGTCAGTGAAGCTCAGGCTCGAGCAAGATGGAGCGACGGCACCTTGGTCCAGCGACAGACAATCAGCACCATGACTGAGCTCAAGACACTCATGTATGTTGGCAAGATCAACTCGAACCTCATGGGACCAGCCATGACCAAGTAAGTAAATTGACGCCTGTATCTGTATCTGTACTATGCTAATGAATGTCGCAGCAATGCTCTTCAACCGCTCCTCGTCCCTCAAATCGACCTCGCTGCACGTAACCCTTCCACGAATGCAGACGTTACCACGACACTATCTAACAAAGAGGCCCGTTTTGTGAATGGCGTCTTCGCCCAGAAGGCTGACGCGAACGCACCTTCGAACGCCGACCCCACCGCTGCCGCCGCAGCTACTTCTGCCGTGTTCCTGGCCGCTCCCTTCGTTGTACCTGGCACAGCTCTCGCCTTCTTCCCTATCGGTTTACTTGTCACTGGGACTTGGTCTATCTTCTTCTTCCTCTCGGTCGGACTGGGCACATATGGTCGCATTCAATTCCGCGACCAGTACAGGAGGCGCATGGCAGCCGAGAAAGCAAGGAGTGTGCGTACGATCTAATGCAACCATTTGAAATGTTTATCACAAGTCCTTCTCTTATAGATACTGTAAATAATACATCATCCTGGCGATGCACGCGAGAACTAAAGATCGTACCAGACCGAACGACAGACATGGAGGTAGTCAGATACCCGTGGGAAGCAATACAAATCTTGAAAACAGTCGACAATCTCCGAGTGACCTCAGCCTTCACGAAATCAACAAATTCAAGCACACTTGCCCTTGTGAGCGATGTCACTCTTGTTCGATCATCGGGTACAACACTGTTGCATCTGGAACAAAGACGGGTTGTGTCGCAATTCAAGACCCACAGCCACCGGTACCGTCACTAGCCGATTGCAAACCCTGATTGGTCAATTGCACTCGCCCAGCCACCATTCGCCGGTACCGCCCCACTGCAACACCACGCCCTATCGAGTCTGTGCGGGCTACATGTATGACTGTCACGAAATGATATGCCTGAGTCACTTGTTGGAGTATATAAAAATAGGTGAGGATGCGCCACTTGGAATATCATTATACCGACAGTCGCAACGATGGGTTCAATTGAAGGCACCACGTCATTGGCTGTGAGGACAACAGATGGTGTCAAGTTCGGGAAAGAATTGAGGGAAAAAGATTTCATGTTTGACAAAGACTACCTCAATCTTAACCATGGTAAGTGATTGATGCTATCAGTGTCTATTGAGGCAGTCATTCCAACTACGACGACCATGGCCGTTGTTACAACCAATCACAATGTGGCATCAGTTGATCACTGCTCCCACTTGATGCACACAGCTTCACCCAATACCTCAGAAACGTTCCGTCTAAAGCTCAATACGACCGCAGTCCCTAACGCCATCACCAGGTTCCTTCGGCACCTACCCACGACCTGTCCGCGACGTCCTGCGCTCCTTCCAAGACCTTGCAGAAGCCCGCCCGGATGACTTCATTCGCATGAAGTACCCAGCGTATCTGAACGTTTCCCGTGCCGCCGTTTCGGAGATCATTAACGCTCCACCAAAGACCGTTGTCTTCGTTCCTAACGCCACAACAGGAGTCAACATAGTCCTGCGCAGCTTGCAATTCGAAGAAGGCGACCACATTGTATACTTCGCAACCATTTACAAGGGGTGCAATCTAACCGTTGAGTACATCACGGAGTCTACGCCAGCGAAAGCGGTAAAAGTCGAGTATACTTACCCTGTTGAGGATGACTGGCTTGTAAAGGCCTTCAAGGCGAAAGTACAAGCAGTGCAAAAGTCTGGCGGAAAGGTCAAAATCGCCATCTTCGACACCGTAGTGAGCATGCCTGGTGTACGTGTTCCGGTTGAACGCCTCACTCAGGCGTGCAAAGAGCTGGGCGTGCTGAGCTTGGTCGACGCAGCGCATGGAATTGGGCACATCGAGCTTGACATGAAGGCACTGGACCCTGATTTTCTGACAAGCAATTGCCACAAGTGAGTCCCCTGAGTAGATCTGAGCTTATCGAAAAGGCGACTGACAATGACGCAGGTGGCTACACGTCCCCCGTGGTTGCGCAATCTTCTACGTTCCCATCCGCAACCAGCACCTCGTCCGCTCCACGCTCCCCACATCCTGGGGCTTCAAGAACCTCGACACAGTGCTCAACACGGTCAATCCAAAGGGCACGTTCGGCGGCGACATCGAGTCCGAGTACATCGGAAAATTCGAGTTTGTCGGCACCATCGATAGTTCGCCGTACCTGTGTGTTCCTGCAGCAGTCGAGTGGCGCAAAACCCTAGGCGGCGAGAAAGTCATTATGGAGTACTGCACAAAACTTGTCCAGGATGCTGGGAAGCTGTGGGCCAAGGAGCTGGGTACGGAGATGATGAATAACGAGACGAAGACGCTGAGCCAGTGCTGTATGGCGATGGTGCGGTTGCCGATCGAAGTTGAGAAGGTGCTGCAGGAGGGCGTGAAGGTTGGAATCGGCAAAGACCAGGTGGGAGGTGTCGTGACGGACTGGCTGCAAAGGATGTTGGTAGACCGCTACGGCACGTTTTTGCAGTGCCCTTTCTATGGTGGTGCATGGTGGGCTAGATTGAGTGGGCAGGTGTACCTGGAGCTAAGTGACTTTAAGGGTGTGGTACCTTCGTTGAAAGAGCTATGTAAGAGGGCGAACAAAGGCGAGTGGGCGGAGACTGTCGAGAAATGGTAAGAGACTCTACTTAGCATATATGGGCAGTACTACCTACCTCCTCCGAGTTGAAGTATATGCCGCCATATCCTAAATCTAGTCTTACTTGTCTCTCAGATGTGAGGTAAATGGTGGTGTGGAACAGATGATGTGCTGAAATCGTGCAAGGTATACTTATGCACAAGACAAAACTGTGCAAGCGTAAAGCGGAGAAGATGATGCGGAGCATTCTGGGGTATATCGATAAGGGTATGTGCGGCGCTGCAGACATGTTGCTCCGCGTCCTGTGCTGCCTCGATAGGGGCAGTCGGTGGCACAGACTTGAGGAGGGGAAGCTGTTGCATTACTCTCGAAAACTGGTGGGAGTCGGGAGATGAAGCCTTGGTGGTAACGATACATGTGATATCAGATGTAAAGCGTTTATATCCATCGACAGGACAAGAGACGCGGCGCTGGTCTGACGTCGGATCGAAGAGGCGCGAATGTTATAATGGCGCAGGAACAAATTTGACAGATCGGCCACTCACCGAAGCACAGAACGGGTCACCGAGCGCAAGCGCCGTACCAGCGAAACAATGAACGTCGACGTTGGCCAGGCCTCACATCCACCCGACTTTGAGCGACTCAGAGAGCGATCTCGGATTGTTCAATCGACAAAAGTGCATCAATGGAAGGTGGCAATGCAGATAGGTCTTGTTGCTTGCGGGCAGGCGCAAAGGGAAGGAACTTTGGATAGAGGCCTTCTGAAGCCCTCCGCTGGTGGCCGTAGCGTAGGGCTACATAGTGCCCGGAGGTATTTCTGCCACATACGTTGCCTTGAAGAGTGAAAGGTACATCGACAGGAGCTTGAACAGCTTTGCAATGATCATGGCGGATTACGAGGCAAACGCTCACTTCACCGACTTTGCGACAAGGCAATGGACCATGCGGAGATGTTACAGGTCAGTAGTACTGGAACGCTGCATAATCCGCGACCCTCGGTTTGTTGGGTGGGAAGGAGCGCCTAGCCCCAAGGAGGGCGGTGAGCGCGCATACAGTACTTTTTTATTTTTGCCACATCGACAATTATTAGCCTTGGAGGGCAGCAACATGGCTCAACACACGCTCTAAAACAACGAGACAGCCTTGCGCTCTGAACTAGGTGACGAGCCGCATTATGGAGACACTGGGGCAATTAGAAAACTTCTGCGTCTTCTGCCGTCCTCGGATTGGCGAACAGTTGTGACAATGTGGGCGAACTTCGCCCGGTTGTGGAAGGAGCGCCACGCACGCGCTAAGGCTATCAGCGCACGGCCCTGCTCAGAATTTTGAGCGCACGTCGGAACTCTTAAATGCCCCTCATTACGCTCTCGAAGCCTTGCAAGCTCTCAACCCACTCTCTCTTGGGCCCCCAAAAAAAGTTCCTGTGTGTATTCAGCTGTATAGAGGGCTGTCTGTCACATTTCTTCGCGTTGTGCGATTTGATACCCCGGTAGACTTTCGTCTATCTCTCCGCCGCAAGGTTTTTAGCCCCGCCGCTATAAGAGAGCCACCGCCCTCTCCAAAGTTTTCCTCCTCCTTCAACCACCACACACCTCTACACCATGGCTCCCGCTGCCCTTCACGACGCTTCTAGCGTGGTACGTCAATCCCTAAGTCTTACTTCAGGTCAAAACCGCAACCAAAGTCCCACTTTCGCTGCTATGCAACCTGGTACTGCCCAATTTCTCTGCTGACAAACCTCAGGCCAGCGAGAACTCCAAGGCCGTCAAGGTTCTTGAGGAGCTTCTCAGCAAGCTCACCGTCTCTAAGGCTCAGGATGAGATCAACGCCTCTGCTGCCTCGATCGCCACCTTCATCAACGGTGATATTGAGGAGGCCGATGCCCCTACAAAGTACGGTTAACACCTTGATACGGCTACAAGAACACCAAGACTAAAAATTTAACAGGGCCGTTGAGCTTCTGAAGAAGCAGCTCGCCAGCAAGAAGGATGCCGTCGCCCGCGAGCGCGCCCTTGATGCCATCCGCGCCATCGCTCAGCATGCTCAGGTCTCCGCCGCCGTCGAGCCCTACCTTGTGGCCCTCCTGCCCAACGTCCTCGCCGCTGTTGGCGACAAGATGTCCGGTGTCAAGGTTGCTGCTCAGACAGCCGCCGAGGCAATCGTCTCTGCCGCCAACCCCAACGCTGTCAAGGCCATCATTCCCCACCTTTCACACTCTCTCGAGACTGCTCAGAAGTGGCCTGAGAAGATGACCGACCTCAAGTGCATTGAGATCCTCACTACCTCTGCCCCCGCCCAGATGGCTTTCCGTGTTCCCGACCTGATCCCCGTCATCTCTGGCGCCATGTGGGACACCAAGGCTGAGGTCAAGAAGGCAGCCTACGCTACCATGGAGACTCTCTGCTCCTTGATCTCCAACAAGGACATCGAGCGCTTCATTCCCGAGCTCATCAAGTGTATCGCAAAGCCTGAGAACGTCCCTGAGACCGTTCACTTGCTCGGTGCCACCACCTTCGTCACTGACGTCCACGAGCCTACTCTGGCTATCATGGTTCCTCTTCTTGAGCGTGGTCTCGTTGAGCGCGAGACTGCCATCAAGCGTAAGACCGCTGTCATCATTGACAACATGTGCAAGCTTGTCGAGGACCCCCAGATTGTCGCCGCTTTCTTGCCCAAGCTTATGCCCGCGCTTGAGAAGAACCACGACAACCTTGCCGACCCCGAGGCTCGTGAGAAGACCCGCCAGGGTCTCGACACTCTCATCCGTGTCGGTGCCGTCAAGGATGGCAAGATTCCCGAGCTCGAGAGGTACGGTGACATTGCCACTGTTGCTGGCAACCTGAAGTCTGTCCTTCCCTCCAAGTACAAGATCAACGAGAAGTTCACACCCGTTGTTGACTACATCGGTGCCATCGGTGGTCAGCTCATCGACGAGAAGGATTACGAGGGCATCAACTGGCAGGCTAACGCCGGTCCTTTTGTAGCCGTCCTTGTCGGCGACGAGGATGCCAAGGACATCACCGAGAACCTCCGCAAGAGGTCCCTCCCTCCTTCTGCTGCCGAGGACATTGTCGAGCCTGATGAGGAAGAGGGCGAGGATCTCTGTAACTGCACATTCAACTTGGCCTACGGTGCTAAGATCCTGCTCAACCAGACTCACCTCCGTCTCAAGCGTGGTCAGCGTTACGGTCTTCTTGGACCCAACGGTTCCGGCAAGACTACACTCATGCGTGCCATCAACAACGAGCAGGTTGAGGGCTTTCCCAAGCAGAGCGAGGTCAAGACTGTCTACGTCGAGCACGACTTGGACTCTGCCGATACTGAGATGACTGTTATTGGCTGGACCATGAAGAAGCTCCGCGATGTTGGTATCCAGGATGAGCAGGATTCCATTGAGAACACTCTCAAAGAGTTTGGATTCACCGATGAGCAGACCAAGGGCCCTATCACCGCCCTTTCCGGTGGATGGAAGATGAAGCTCGCGCTTGCTCGTGCGGTGTTCGAGAAGCCCGACATTCTGCTTCTTGACGAGCCCACCAACCACATGGACGTCAAGAACGTCAAGTGGCTCGAGGACTACCTCATGAATTCCCCTTGCACATCCATCGTCATCTCCCACGACAGCAAGTTCTTGAACAACGTCATCCAGCACGTTGTCCACTACGAGCGCTTCAAGCTCAAGCGCTACCGTGGTAACCTTGATGAGTTCGTCAAGCGTGTCCCCTCTGCCAAGTCCTACCACGAGCTCAGCGCCTCCGACATGGAGTTCAAGTTCCCCGAGCCCGGTTTCCTGGAGGGTGTCAAGACCAAAGCCAAGGCTATTCTCCGTGCCACCAACATGAGCTTCCAATACGAGGGTACTTCCAAGCCCCAGATCGCCGATATCTCTTTCCAGTGTTCGCTCGGATCCCGTATTGCCGTCATCGGTCCTAACGGTGCCGGAAAGTCCACCCTCGTCAACGTCTTGACTGGTGAGCTTGTCCCCACATCTGGTGAGATCTACCACCACGAGAACATCCGTATTGCCTACATCAAGCAGCACGCTTTCGCTCATATTGATCACCACCTCGACAAGACTCCTTCCGAGTACATCCAGTGGCGTTTCCAGACCGGTGAGGACCGCGAGACCATGGATCGTGCCAACAAGATCGTCACCGAGGAAGACGAGAAGGCCATGGACAAGATTTACAAGATCGAGGGTACCCAGCGTCGTGTCATCGGTATCAACTCCCGCAGGAAGTTCAAGAACTCCTATGAGTATGAGTGCTCCTTCGCTCTCGGTGAGAACGTCGGCATGAAGAACGAGAGGTGGACACCCATGATGTCTGCCGACAATGCTTGGATTCCCCGTACCGAGATCATGGCTTCCCACTCCAAGATGGTCGCTGAGGTCGATCAGAAGGAGGCCCTCGCCTCTGGTCAGTTCCGCCCCCTTGTCCGCAAGGAGATTGAGTCCCACGCCGCCAACTTCGGTCTCGATGCTGAGCTCGTTTCTCACTCGCGCATGCGTGGTCTGTCCGGTGGTCAGCGTGTCAAAGTTGTCCTTGCCGCTTGCTCGTGGCAGCGTCCCCACTTGATTGTCCTCGATGAGCCCACCAACTACCTCGACCGTGACTCTCTCGGTGCCCTGTCCAAGGCCATCAAGTCCTTCGAGGGTGGTGTCATCATCATTACTCACTCTGCTGAGTTCACCAAGAATCTGACTGAGGAAGTCTGGGCTGTCCTTGACGGCAAGATGACTCCTTCCGGACACAACTGGGTCCAGGGTCAGGGTGCCGGTCCCCGTCTCACCGAGAAGGGTGATGAAGAGGAGAAGGTTAGTGTATCCTTTTCCATTACCATGAACACATACTAACATCATCACAGTTTGACGCTATGGGTAACAAAATAGCCGCCACGGAAAAGAAGAAGAAGCTCACTTCCGCCGAGATGCGCAAGGTAATGCATTACCCATTTTCTAGTCTTTTAACACCGGCTAACAACCCTCACAGAAGAAGAAGGACCGCATGGCTCGCCGCAAGCGTGGTGAGGAGGTCTTCTCCGATGAGGACGACTAAGCGCATCACCCCCGAAAAGTCTTTCTTTATTCTTCATGACTGTTACGGTGCATGCATACCAGGCTTCGAGTTTGCCTATGATAATGAGGGTAGCAGTGGTCATGGCTGGCGTATGGGTTCCAAAATTTGCGAGGTTTTTGCTTTGACAGCCCGCGCATTTTGCGGTTCGATCTTGTTGAAGATAGAAATAGATTCCCACAACACTTCACATCATATTATCCTTTACTAGTGATGTTTGCCATTTACAGCATTCTTTTTGCCTATAAGTGGTGTCTGGCGCCTTTTGCGCCGAACTTGATCGGGCCTGCTACTTTGACAAACATCACGCAGCGAGGAGGTACTCGTGATATTTCCAACAACATATTGTTGGGTCTCATCAATGATTCAATACAACCAATTATTTGCTTGCTGGATTGAGTATTCCTTTGCCTACTTCCTCTGCTTCTCGCCCTCAATGAAGTCCTTGATAGTCCGTTCCAACCCTACGTCTTCTGAGAAGCCGAGCTCCTTTGCTCTCGCTGTATCGTACTTCGCAGGCCAGCTCAATACGATCTTCTGGATGCCTTCATCCCTCTGCTCCTTGACTCTTGATCGGACCTCCTTTCCTGCAATCTTCTCCAGAGCATCCAGAATCTCGCCACTGGTCGCTGTGTAGCCAGGTAGCAGTACCTGTCTGAAGTGGCCGAACTTTTCAGCCGGGACTTTGATGGCATGTACCAGGTTGGTGGCCAGCGCGCGCGGTGATGTCAACCAGATGCCGATACTGGGGTCGACAGGGAGCACAGAGCCCTCTCCATTGACGGGCTCGCGGACGATTCCAGAGACGAAGGACGATGCCGCTGCTGTAGGTGCACCAGCTCGCACGAATACGGTAGGAAGTCGGACAACACGTCCATCAATGAGACCGCGGCGAGAGTAGTCGTTGATCAAGAACTCGATCATGAGCTTCTGCGTGCCGTAACTGCTCTCTGGCATGGGGACAATATCTGTCTCGGTGGCAATATTCTTCACCGCCGCGCGACCAAAGACCGCACACGAACTCGTGAAGACGATCTTGACGCCAGGCTGCTTGACGCGGGCTACATCAATTAAATGTCTCACGCTGTCAAAGTTGACTTTGAGCCCCAAGCCGAGGTTTGCTTCCGAGCCACTCGACATGATGCCGTGTAGAATGTACACCGCATCAGGCGCCTTCTCGAACAATGCATCGACCGCCGAAGGGTCCGTGAGGTCCGCCGCAAGGCTCTGTACATCCTTGGACTCGGTCGGGTTCGGAGGCTCCATTACATCCGCAAGGAGTAGTGATGTAGAGGGGTCGGTCTCGATGAGTTTCTTAGCCAGGATCTGGCCGACAAAGCCACCGGCGCCGGTGATGACAACTCTCATGCTGCTGACTCGTGCGTGTTGGTCTGATTTGATGAAAAGATATGTACAGGTGTACTGAAGGTATGTAAGATTAGCACGTAGGGACTGAACACGACAACAGTTTTTAGCCACACCTGTAGCTTATGATGTTTCTCCTTCGGCGAGAATCCCGACTTGGGCCGCGTGGGGTTAGGCCGGGGAAACGAGCACCGATGAGCGCGGGGTCGGCTCGCGGTGGGTGGGCCGAGCAGCCCTGGATATATTTTCCCGCAATGCCTACCACCTGGGCATGGCAAGGTCTCGTGGTAGACTTGGACACCTTGCTAGTGAAGCGCCTTAATTCTACAAATTCTGCCGACTTCTGCGCTTATGTTAAGATCATGCAATTTTCCTCACAGTTTTCCGCTTGAAAAGCTCGAGCCGCGAGTCAAGCCGGCGCGGTCGCTGACTTCTCCGCGCCGTGAGCTGCCACCGTGCTCAAAGTGGATTGAACGCCGGAATTTCACTGGATATTCGATCATGTTGTACATAAGTCGCTCGTATGCCTGTTGTCGATCCGGGGCAAATGGCCAACAAAAGGCTCAGCACCTCCACGATGAGGTGGTTAGGGACTTCCACCGCCACGATCTTCCTTCAATATCATCATGGCTCTTATCCTGTCTGCGCTGCTGGGCCTCGCCCAATTGCCGATTGCGCATGCTCTCAGTTCGCTGAAGATTGACACAACCTCTGGTATGGTGCAGGGTGCAGTCGATTCGATTACACCAGACGTTGCCCACTTTCTGGGTGTACCCTTCGCTGAGCAGCCTCTGGGCAAGCGCCGCTGGTTGCCGTCCATACCAAAGACCAAAGAGCATGGAACAATCGATGCTTCCAATTTCGCACCTGCATGCCCGCAATTTGAAGGCAACACAGACAATGTTTGGTTGACCGATGCTCCCGAGTTTGTCATCACGCCAAGAAACTACACCGGCGAGGATTGCTTGACGGTCAATGTGTGGGCGCCGTGGAAAGAGGAGGCTAAGCAGAGCATACACACGGAAGGAGCATACGATTCTGAGGAGAAGTTGCCGGTCATTGCATGGATCCACGGTGGCTCCTTCCAGACGGGGGCCTCTACAGTACCTTACCAAGATCCTAGCCCATGGATTCAGAGGAGTGGCAGGCACATTGTTGTTGGCATCCAGTAAGTCTACGTTCAGTGAAGTGGTTGCTGAAACCTAATATACACACAGATATCGTCTGGGCATTTTCGGACAGCCTAACGCAGCAGGTCTTGCTGATGATGAGCAGAACCTTGGTCTCCTTGACCAGCGCCTCGCTCTTGAATGGATCCGCGACAATATTGCTAACTTCGGTGGTGACCCAGAACGCATCACTCTCTGGGGTCAGTCCGCCGGTGCCATCTCTGTCGATGCGTACAATTTTGCCTATCCGGAGGACCCCATCGTCTCTGCTCTGATCATGCACTCCGGAACCACTTTTTTGACACTCACCTCTATAGACCCTGAGCACACCAACTTCACATCTGTCGCCACTTCCCTTGGATGCGGCAACCTCAATGCCACAGCGGAAGTCGACTGTCTTCGAGAAGTCCCCTACACGGATATCATCTCCTTTCTCAAGGCGCGCTCCGACAACGGCACAATCCCCGGCCTTACCTTCAACCCCATCATCGACAACCGTACCAAGTTCAGTAACTACACCGCGCGCGCACTAGCCGGAAACTACACCCGCATGCCGGCCATCATCGGCACCACTGTCGATGAAGGCAATGTATTCCTACCTTACAACCGTACCTACGGTCCCAACATGAAACTTGCCGACTTCATCACCCTTGGCTCTTTCCTCTGCCCAACTTTGCAAACCACTCACGATCGCTTTGTGTCCAAATCGACGACCTTCCGCTACCTCTACGGCGGAAACTTCACCAACATCGCCCCGCAGTGGTGGCAAGGCGCTTACCACCAGTCAGACATGCCTCTTGTGTTCGGTACGCACAACACTGCGCGCAGCAATTCGACGCCACTGGAGTTTGCTGTGAGCGAGGCGATGCAGGACTTCTGGCTTGCGTTTGCTGAAGATCCTGTTAAAGGTCTTCCTGAGGCTGGGTGGGAGGCGTATGAGCCAACTGGTGAGGCGGTGCTCTTTGGATGGGAGGGCAAGGCTGTGCAGCCCATCAAGGAAAGTGATTTGGAGGCGCCGTGTAATGGTCTTGTGCCGAACGGACTGCCTAAGCCGCCGACATTCTAGGCACAGATTCTGGGAGTGACAGAAAAACAGACTCATGATGATGATGTATAACGTAGATTGGAAAAATTGATGTAGATCACTGCAAGCATTGATGCAAATACCTATTGAAACATGGTAAATGCCTCGTGTAGCACAAGCTACCGTCTTCCCGTCCCCATACGTCAGCAACAGCTTCTCTAACGGCAGCAAAAGTATGGTTGGCTTTCGGTAAGGCACCGTCTCGTTAACTGGTACCATCAGCCTTGTCAGCCTCGATTTGAAGGTCTTTATTAGCATCCTCGTATACCCTAGCACTATCATCATGTCTTCATCGTATGATTGTTCCCGTCTTCATCTGTTGCGGTTTTCGATTCCTCAGAGACTGTCGATATTCTTGGTTGTCGATTTTACAGCTGCGGAACTGTCCGCTCCTGAAGCCATTATGGCGATACTGAGCTTGTCATTTGCATTGCTGGAGAAAATAGATAATATGTACATTTTGTAAACTGAGTCTCGATGAAAACATTTAGCTCATTTTCCTACACTTTTGCTTGATACCGAGCTAGACCCATTGTCGAGAGGAACGTTGTCAAATACATCGCAGTTCAAGTGCGGCTAATCTTTCGGGATCGCACAGCATCCTTTCTATGAAGGGCGAATCGATGCTGACAAGGCTGGCGCGGACTTATGAAAGGCCTCGATGATCTCAACAATGCCAGCTTTCAGTTCGAAAGAGGGACCAAGATGTAGCTCAGCAGAAGGGCTGTCGACGACGATGGGACTGTCAGGTCAACTGTCTTGACTCTTCTTTGCATCGTTATCAGAGACGAATGGTGCATTATCGTCATCAACAACGCACTTCAGCCGCATGTCTTCCGTGACGGAACCGGCGTATGATCCACAAATGTGACGCTCCCAATATAGCGAAGGTATTCAGTACAGTCCTCGGCATCTTGAGTACAATCTTCTTCCGTCACTTGATCCTAAGCATCTGCCTCTGGGTCAAGTTCGCAGCGCGAGCATGCGATCTCGAGACTGATGCAGAGGATAGAAGTAACGGTTGAGAGGAGAAGCAGATCACGTGTTGTTGGCGGTGGTCTGGTGCTACTTCCTCATGTTGTTGAGCACCTCTTACCTTAGCTGCGTCACAAACACGTTATCAAAACAGACCCCGCAGCGAGCCTTGGAGAGCAAAGATACAAGCAGAACAACAACACAAGAACACAATACACTCGTTATATATATTTGCCCTTGATACCGCAACAATAGATGCCTTTTGGACGTGATGACTCCAATACGAGGTACTGGCGCCGGGGTCATAGACAGCTAGGTACTAGTTAGGCTAGATAAGTTAGGAACGCTCTAAATCTAGTTAGAGCTTAAACTATCTCAACTACTAAATTCTAACAATGCAGTCTTGTAATCCTAAGTCTACAATTACAAAGGGACAGTTGTGTATCTTTCTACTGTCTATAATTATGTGAAGTAAGATATACTGTGTAACTAGAGTTAAAATTTAATCCTTAAAACCTTTTAACGTACTCCACAAGCGAGCCGCTCACCCAAGCGAGCCGCTCACTTTTGCCAAGACCACACCCAACTTCACACAACTTGTAATGGTTCAACACAAGAACGCGAAAAAGCCCTCAAATGAAGCAGATATTCAGCTTGCTATTAAGGCTATCAAACGCAACGCGACACTCTCCCAGCGACGCGCTGCAAAGATCTACAGAGTGCCTCAAAGGACTCTTAGTGACTGACTGGCTGGAGCCTCTCCACAACGCGACTGCAAGGTTAATTTAATAAAGCTCACAAGCACTAAGGAGGATGTGATTGTTCAGCATATATTGAAGCTGGATGAACGAGGATATCCACCCCAGCTCACTGATGTGGAGGATATGGCCAACTCTCTACTCACTGAGCGCCACCAGCCTCCTGTTGGCAAGAACTGGGCTGCCAACTTTGTTAAGCGTCGCCTAGAGCTTACAGTCAAGTTCAATCAAAAGTACGACTACAAGAGAGCCCTCTGCAAGGATCCTAAGGTGATCCAGGGCTAGTTCCACCTAGTAGAGAATACTAAAGCCAAGTATGGTATCCTGGATGAAGACACCTACAACTTTAACAAGTCTGGGTTCATGATGGGCGTCATATCAACAGGAGCTGTTGTCACAGGCTCTGAGCGTCGAGGAAGGCCAAAGACAGTACAGCAGGGCGACCAAGAGTGGACCAGCATTATCCAGGGCATCAACGCGTCAGGGTGGAGTATCCCACCTTTTGTCATCTTCCAAGGCAAGCACCACCTCTCTGCTTGGTACAAGGAGCCATCTATACCTCACGACTGGGTCATTACTGTCTCTAAGAACGGCTGGACCAACAATGAGCTTGGCATCAAGTGGCTGAAGCACTTTGATGAGCACACAAAGGAGCGCACTGTTAGCAGCCATCGGCTGCTCATTCTGGACGGCCATGAGAGCCACAACTTAGTCAAGTTCCACCAGTACTGTGAGGAACACAAGATCATCACTCTGTGTATGCCTCCTCACTCGTCGCACCTATTGCAGCCACTTGACGTGGGTTGTTTTGCCCCGATGAAGAAGGCCTATAGTCGCCAAGCTGAGCTGCTGATGCGCAACAAGATTACTCGCATCACAAAACTTGAGTTCTTACCATGCTTCAAAGGAGCTTTTAATGCCTCTATTACTAGGAGCAATATCCAGGGAGGATTCAGAGGTGCTGGCTTAGTCCCCTTTGATCTAGAGGCTGTAATATCAAAGCTTGAAGTGCGCCTGTGTACTCCACCACTACCTACTATAGATAAGAGTACGTGGCACTCTCAAACCCTACAGAACACCCTAGAATTTAGGTCGCAATCAAAGCTAATTCAAGAGAGGATCCAGCAACATAGGGATAGCTTACTAACTTTAATAGTTAATGCCCTTAATCAGCTCACTAAAGGCGCAGAGATGATGGCGCATTCACTAGTTTTAGTGCGCAACTAGGTCGCAGAGCTTCAAGCTGCCAATAAGGCCGCCACACGCCGTAAATTACACAAGAGGAAGCAGATCCAAAAGGAGGGGGCTCTCACTGTTAGTGAAGGTGTGCGCTTAACTACCCTAAAGGAGTTTAAAGCCTGTGGCGATAGGAAGAAGGCAAGCAAGAGGAGGCGCGTTCAACTAAGTACACAGTCTTCACAACGCTGTAGCAAGTATGGTGAGACAGGGCACAACACGCGAACGTGCAAGAATAACGTGTAAGGTATTTCTAAATAATTTAGTGTACTATAGCCTGCAGTAGGACCTAAGTTGCTACTATAGTGTTGTAAGTTGTGTGAAGTTGGGTGTGGTCTTGGCAAAAGTGAGCGGCTCGCTTGGGTGAGCGGCTCGCTTGTGGAGTACGTTACTAAAATTTTAAATAGTAGCTTTTAGATAGGAATTTAAAGAGCTAAAGAAATTAAAGAAGCATCTTTTAAGTTAAGAAATACGTGTCTTTAAGCTCTAGTAATAATTAATAAGTTTATATAACGTACCTCACGGGCGAGTGGCCGGCCCAGGCGAGTGACCGGATTTTGCCAAGACCACACCAAACTTCATACAACCCGCGATGTCTTAACACAAAAAGGCTTAAAGTAACGTACTCTATCACCAAGCTAGTTATATCACTAAACTAGTCAAAATCTCTTGGCGCGCCCAACTTATGTTGCAGCAACTTGAATTACTTGCTATTAAATAGTAATCTAGTGTACTGCGTGCTTTTATTAGATTTAGAATCTTCTTCTATATCTTTCTAACACGTTTAAGCGTTGTGCCCTGTGCCTCTACAGTTTCTACAGCGCTGTTAGGCTAACTAGGTCCTTTCTTAAGTACCTGCACTATAAGTCTTCTTTAATAGCTAAGCTGCTACAGACACCTCAGCAGCTACCTGTGATGCTGCTAGGCCATACTTAAGTGTGCTACTATGCTGAATTTGCTTTTGCTTGCGCAACTTTCTCCTAGTTATAACTGCTAATTACTCTTTAAGCTTAGTAATGCAAGCAGCTTATAGCGCGTTTTAGTGTAGCATTAATTTACTACCTTTAATAAGCTAAGAGAAGCTAGCCTAGGCTGTAACTAGTAACTAAGTAAAGGAGTTATGTATAAGCTTTAACTAAGACCTAAACTTGTGTATATTGCTTAGAGTCCTTAACTGCCACAGTGTCTCTAGTAGAGGGGGTGCTAGTAGGGTACAGTGTCGCACCTTAAGGCAATCTAACACTACCTGCGTGTTAGTAGGGACTAGCCCTAATGCCTTAAAGGCCTTCTAACAGTTAGCCTTTGTAAACACATTAAGAAACACGTCTCTAAAGGCTAGAAGGAAGCCTTCCTTGTTAATATAGAAGACGCGTTAGCGTGCTAAGTCCTAGACGCGTTAGGAGTACTTGCGCTTCAACGGCGAGAAACAGACCATGTCAAGCGGCTAGAGGATGTGTGACGAGTGAGCTAGTATACAGAGAGTAAGGATCTTGTTATCTAGGCAATAGTCCTTAAAATCCTAGTTAAGGTGGCTCTTATAGCTGTCTAAGATAAGTAGCCTGTATCCCCCTACCTAACGCGCTCTTGTATGCGTGTTAAAATGCTTTAACTACTTAAGGCTAAGCGCGTTGTTTGTCTAGCTATTCTTAGAGACAGAGAGCTTCTAATTGTGTAGTATATCTGTCTCCTTGTACTAGGCAGAGATGTAGATGCGTCCTTTGTAGATGATGAAAGGTAGGGTCGCATATCTAGCAGCGCAGATGCTCTGTATAACTGTAACCCACTCCTAATCACCTGGCTGAACAAGCTTAGGTCAAGCGCGTCTCTTAGCGCCTATAACAACCTTTATTAACCCTATCACGCCTATCTAGAACCTAGTCTTATTAAAGTTGTGTATGTTATTGTTGTAGATGCTATACTTAGCCTTAGTAACCTCTACTAGCATAAACTATGCTTTAATTACCTTAGGATCTTCCTATAGTATCCTCTGTCTATCCTTTGCTTAGTTAAACACTATCTTAAGCTAATCTAAACGCGTTATAAATCTTATAGCCTAGAGTTTACTAACAGGCTCCCTACTACGCACACCTAACAGTTTAT